GAAAATGGTGTCCGTAACCCCTATTTATGCCTATTTAGGTCATCTCAGGTCACGAATGGTGTCTAACAGTTTTTCGCAAATAACTTTTGATACAGGCATGCTAGAGCGGTGAAAACACCTTAGATGTGCTCAGCTCGACGATACGGATCGATTGATATGCAACATAACCCTTTCCGGTCAGGTCATGGCCTTGACCTGAGGTCAAATTTCAAAGTTGACCTTTCAAGGTCAAGTTATAGTTCATTCGATGCGTCTTGACGAGAGGAACACGATGCCGGTAAAAATAAGCTTGTACAAGGCTTGGGTCAAAAGTTATTGCAGAAAAAACTGTTTCCGAAAAAAAATCGGCTATTTTTGCAGTTTTTGCCCCCTGCAGGCAAACCGTTGACGTTAGGTCAAATCTGAGAGAATTACTCAGAAAGGGCGTTAATAGGGCTATCGAATGCGCTTTCCGCGGCGCTGTAGCTTTATTGGTTCCCGAGTTATGCGTTGGCTAATGGCTTCCTGGAAACTGTCGACATTCGACCTGAAAATCGGCGAAATTTCGCCTTCAATGACCTCTGGTGACCTGACCTTTGACCTGAACAAAAACGTGACCGAATTGATTTCGTCATTATTTTTGGCCCTCTTTCGAACGCCGACTTCCGCGTATCGCTACGTGGCCCAGGAGCCGAGTTAGAAGGGGGTGTTCAAACAGTCGTGACACCTGGAAAAACCACAGGGGGAGCCAAAATGGCCTCCCCCAACGGTGCGAGGGTTAACCCTCGCCGGACCTATTGGTTTTCTACATACGCGCCGGCCGAGGGGGGGGGGGGGGGGCGGGTACGACCCCCCCTCGCCGTTTCGCCCCTGGTGGAGCTAGCGCGTCGCGGAAAAAACGAGCGTGTGCGCCGTTACGAGACGCAGAGATTGGTACCCGATTTTAAGGTCCTAGGTCAACCGGTGACCTCTGAGGTCAGGTCAAGTGCCCCAAGGTACGGTTCAGTTTTTGGTGAATAACTTCGCAAAAAACGGCCGCAGAGCGCCGATTTTGGCAGCATCGTGTTTGTCTCGCTCAGGCGCGTCGAATGATATACTTTTTGTCCGGGTCAGGTCAACTTGGGGTGTTGACCTCAGGTCAAGGTCAGGTCAGCACCCCCAGGTCACGAAGTTGGTCGAAAGAGGTCATGTCGCATATCATTCGATTCGGCAGGTCTTCCTGAGTCCATTGGTGGCTTTCCCGACTCGCTAGCTCAATTTGATCAAGAGTTATTGACGAAAAATTAATATGACCTTGATGACGTCATAAATGACGTCACGCAAGGTCAACATTGCAAAAGTGACGCATCTAACCTTGCAAGGAGTGCATCAAATCACGATTCTGTGTGCTTGAGATAGTTGGAGATCGTTCCCGGCGCCAGAATAGCAGTTTTCATTTTTCCCCATTGACTTATAATGGTGAGGTCACGAAAATGACCTGACCTCATATGACCTTTAGGAAAAATCCGAGATATACAAGTTGTGGGACTCATAATGGATACTAGATCCTGCAAGTTTCATTTCCCTGTGACATCTCCTCTGGCAGTGAGGGCGTTGCGAAGTTGCGACATCTGAAGACCGTGCAGAGGTTCACTTATGACATCATAGGTCAGTGACCTGACCTGACCCAAAAATGCGGTTGATGTCAAAAGATCCGGCTTGGATCAAAGGTCAGGTATGCCAAGTTTCAGCTCTCTATCGCCAGCGTGTTCGGAGCTATCGCGAAAAAACCCTATGGGGGGGGGGGGCGGCACCCGCCCCCCCCCCCTCGGCCGGCGAGGGTTAACAATATTGAAAACTGGGGCCACTGTGTAATTTGTATGAACTATATAAGAGTGATAGCACCGTTACATCTCATGTACTTTTCAACCTGTCCAATTCAAACCTCAAACGAAATCAGAAAAGTCGAATAAAGTAGAAACTAAACAGAAATAAGTTTGATGGGAGACCAATGTGCCAATGTGCCTTCACACCTGTTAGGTAAGCTTTGCTAAGTCTGTATCAAATCGTTTAGAACGATTTCATCCAATTGGGAATAGAATAGCTCTACGATTAGCGTCTGCTGACGAAGTCTACTTTTGCTGACTGTTGTTGTGTTGACAACAAAAACTGCTTTGTTTTTGTAAGATATGAATGCATTTAGCCTCACAAATTAATAAATGCCATGAAATACATATTTTAAGAAGAATTGAACACGCACAAAGCGATATCGGGACTAGACCACAGGAAAAATCCACAGTGTGTGAAAAATCAATCACGTAGTGCGTAATTTCAAAATATTTTTGCCATTTCTGCCAGTCATGTACATGAAATCTTGCTTTTATGATACCTAGTTTTCCCTGAAACAGGGAGCTCAAGCCTCTGCCATCCTTTTCCATCAAGGACGTCGAACGTGACAGAAGAATACACTCTATGCTGAGTGACCCACAGGCCACACCGTCATGTAACAAGCGAGTCTGCAATTGCATGTTTTCAGCATACGAGCTAACTTCTATCGCATTCAAAAAGTTTATTTCGAGTCAACTTTCGATTTTCCTCGCTGAGAGGGCTGGGAGTTTTGGTCTGTTTTGATGAAGTCAATTTTGGTTCGTTGGGCAATTTTCTTGGTTCGTTTTGCAAATATGCAACTTTATTAGGGTGTACCGGCTTCATTGCATTGTAGTGATCATAATAGAATGGTTTAATCACTCAATGAATGAGTATTTTACCCGCGAATCAAAAACCCGCAGACTTGCAACCCGCGTGCGAGTTGGGGCGGCCTTTATATTTGAGTGAACACTTCTTCCGCACTTAAATACTATGCAGTCTTGTTCAACACTTTCTTCTGGTCATCTTCAGTCAAAGTCAAACTGAGAACATTCATAGCCCGCGCCCTGCTGGGGGTCCTGGATTTCCACGCCCTGCTGGGGGGGGGTGTTTGAACACCCCCCCTTCTAACTCGGCTCCTGGGCCACGTAGCGATACGCGGAAGGCGGCGTTCGAAAGAGCGTCAAAAATAATGACGAAATCACTTCGGTCAATTTTTTGGTCAGGTCAAAGGTCAGGTCACCAGAGGTCATTGAAGGCAAAATTTCGCCGATTTCCAGGTCGAATGTCGAAAATTTCCAAGAAGCCAACGCATAACTCGGGAACCAATAGAGCTACAGCGCCGCGGAAAAGCGCATTCAATAGCTCTTTTAACGCCCTTTCTGAGTAATTCTCTCAGATTTGACCTAACGTCAACGGTTTTGCCTGCAGGGGGCAAAAACAGCAAAAATAGCCGATTTTTTCGAAAACAGTTTTTCTGCAATAACTTTTGACCCAAGCCTTGTACGAGCTTACTTTTACCGGCATCGTGTTCCTCTCGTCAAGACGCATCGAATGAACTATGACTTGACCTTGAAAGGTCAACTTGAAAATTTGACCTCAGGTCAAGGTCATGACCTGACCGGAAAGGGTCATGTTGCATATCAGTCGATCCGTATCGTCGAGCTGAACACATCTAAGGCGTTTTCATCGCTCTAGCATACCTCTATCAAAAGTTACTTGCGAAAAACTGTTAGATACCATTCGTGACCTAAGATGACCTCAGGGCATAAACAAGGGTCACGGACACCATTTTCATGTTCAGTGTGTCTAAACCACTTGTAATTCGGTGTTTGGGAGTGTTTATAATGTCTTTCATCCAAAAGAGGCGCATTTCAATTTTCTCCCATTGACTTATAATGGGGAGGTCGCAAAATTGACCTGACCTTAGGTCATCGATATCAAAATTCTGAGATATACATTTTGTACATGCTATTGCTCTTAGCAATCGCTGAAAGTTTCAAAGCGATCGGTCACTCGGTGTAGCTATGACAGACATTGAAACTTTTTATGAGGTGAGGTCACTTCAAGTGACCTGGTGACCTGACCTTGAATGACCTTGGTCTGAAATTTTCACAACATGTGTAGAATTGATGTATGATAAGGTGTACCAAAAACGGCGGCGCTCCGCGCCGCCGTTTTTGAGCTATTCGCGAAAAACCACAGGGGGGGGGGGTGTTCAAACACCCCCCCCCCCCAGCAGGGCGCGGGATAGCAATGCCATCATATCCGCTTTGAGAAGATCGGCTTTCACTGAAGCTGGTGACAAAGCCGGAACTAGTCAGAAAAGGCCGGATATTACCGGATTTGGCAGTAGGCGGCAGGCAGGGCACGGTGATGATCTGTGCGTTCCATGAATGATATGAAAGCCTACGGTGAGATGCAGAATCGTCACCCAGGATGAACCATGACGTGGGTGGTAAGGTCTTGACGGAAACAGTTACGCAGTAGGTACTTTACAGGGAACTAGTTACTAGGCCAGCAAACCAACGCGACTATCTGATTCAGCAATAGCTTAAAAATATAAAGAAGGTGTAGCAACGACTTGAAAATTGCGGAATAGAGTTGTCCGGATTGTTAATGTATAGGTATATGGTAGACATGTCAATCGGATACCAACTTGTTAGTACACCGGTACCAAAGCGACACTGACTTGGTATCTGCTATTTCAATCGTAATGTTTTTGGCATTTTGTTAATATTAGCCGTTTTCACGACGGGCTATCTCGCGAATGCACCTTATTTGACCAAATCTGCACCATTTTTTATTATTATTATTATATATATATATATATATATATATATATATATATATATATATATATATATATATATATATATATATATATATATATATATATATATATATATATATATATCATAAATGTATTTCAGTGTTTCATTCGAAAACAATGTCTGTATAATTTAACCCGCGTATGACTGGGGTATTTTCCATAACGCGAGTGACGGGGGGGGCTCTCCAAAGCCCCCCTTCTATCTCCGAAACTACTGAGCCGATCGTCAAAATTCAAACGGCGTCTGCCGTCTAATAACCCTGAAAAAAACTGTTGAATGAAGCCTATTTTCATTCACCTCGAGGTCACCAATGACGTCACAGTTCAGGTCAAAGTACATGAAGAGCCCTGTTGATCCGGCAGTTGTGTATTTCAATCGTCTCTATTTCCCATAGTCCTTGATATTACATGAACGACATCGAACCGGCCAAATCTGGTCCAAACGAACCACAGCCAGACATATCTGGTCTAAACGAACCACAACCGGACAAATCTGGTCCAAACAAACCACAGCCGACCTGACCACCGACGGTCCGACACAGTGACGGTCGAGGTCCGATATCGCCCGGACCGGCCACCCTCACAGCTAGCTCCAACCACTCTCTGGTCTAAACGGTTAGAGGGCCTTGGTCTAAACTGAAACTACAACACAACAGCACAGCGGTGTGAGCCAGCGTGACGTCACAACACAACACACGTGACGTCACCACGGCTGTACCTCCGGCACAGTGACAACGGTTTACCGACGGCTGGACAGTGGCCCCGAGGGTGATACATCTCGGAAAATAACTAGTGTCTATCAAAGCAGTGTCAACAAACGTAGCAATCTGTGCCTAAATCAAATGACCAGCCTTCAGGTGGCTACTCAGCCCAAACCAGACTGGCACGGCGGTAAAGTACCCACGGATCTGACCCTATGGGACAGGGCGGCTCGAAGTACTTCTGGATATGAAGGTCTAGATGTGTATTGTGCCCCGTACAGCGCTGCCGACGGGACACGGTGCTGCCATCTGTTGTCGAGTTCCGACACCGCTGACGGCACATGAGCGGACGAGGCACCGGGAAGATAGTCGTCTAGCCAAAGTACTTCAAACAGATTTTGCTGCCGTTGGGAGGCTTGGTAAGCTTGTCGTATACAGACTCTGGAAACGGAACACGTCAGATTACACAGTGATTGCTAGTGATGTTACATGGGGCAACTCAAACTGATGACGTCACCTACAGATACATAAACGAACACAATGACAATGTGTGTTTCACTGAGTAATGACGTCATGAGGGCTGGTACTGATACTGTGACGCCACTTACGGGGATACACGTCACCAAGTGTGACGTCAGTACTGGTGACGTCACGTGCGTCAGTGTGGTGTCCGAGAGGCCGGTGGCGCCATGTCGGCTGGTGTGGGTGGTCAGAGACGCCGCCACTTACTGGGGACCCGAAGATTAATGATGCGGGACTGGTCACTGTCACATCCCAGGTCTGTCTCGTGCAGGGCAGTCAGGACGGCCTGGCAGTTTTCAGTTGAGGATTTGATGTACAGTCTATACAGTTTCCTGCAGGTCACTGCCATCCTGCAACAAGATCAGAACAAAACAGAACAGGTTAGTATACGGGACACAGTCACACAGTGGCACCAGTGGGCGATTAAACACGGAGACACTGCATAGTGCATTGTCAATGTCGTTCATAATATAAAATGTGCCTCCGGCTATCTCAAGTTCCCAGTATGATACAGTGGAGCGCTATGGATGCTTCACACGATACTGTGAGCCATATGATATTCCATGCCATCTCTCGTTAGGCGGTACGGGCGGACATCGATAGCAGCGCCTCTAGCGGTCATTAGGGAAAGCTGGGCTGTAGGCGACGAAATACCGGCTGAGTTGTCACACGTTAAATAGGTTTATAGACATCCGTCTTGTGAAAAAGGTGAACTTTTGCCTTCAATATTTCTACAGGCAATTTTAGAAGTGATCTTCAAATCTTATAAAACCGTTTAGATAGTTGTATTCACTTCAAGCCGTCCTTATTGTTCTTGATGATGATGCTGGAACTATTTATAATAAGTGTTTCTAGCTTAGTAAAAGAATATATCGTTCAAACGATGAAAAAAAACATAATAGGACAATTTTAAATGCAATTTTCTCTAATAATTATACGTAGATTCTCTACACATCGAGGAAAATTTGCATGCTAACTGATAATTCAAAGTTCTTGGGGCCAGATGTTTTCTTCTTTTCTTACGTCGCCCCAATGGCCGCGAATACACTTGTGATAATGCCTATCGTGTAGGCCATACCATGCCAGGCCATGCCAGGCCATGCCATACTCTGACCATCTCAGACATGTAGGCATAAATAAATATTATATTGCAGTTCTCAGGCCAATGAGACTGTCTATAGGCCGTACTGATATGTTGTGTCTTCAATTCCAGTGGAGTTGACTTCCGGTCTATCATGCACTTGAAATGGCAAACGTTATAGAAACTAGCTCAGCCCATGTCCTGTCCATATGCTTATTCACCCTTCAACGTTCCCGTTGGTATCATTTTTATTGTTTTGGTCTTGTGCTGAATTGTTATGTATGTGTACGTTGTGCACTGTCCTATTGCACTGCATGGAGAGCAATTCATTTAAAATCGCTCTTGTTCCCCCCCCCCCCCCTCGACAACTTTGCAAACGTCTCTGCGCGATTTGGTTGAGAATAATGGCTTATGGCAAGTTATTGAATCAGAACGTCGATCACTGCAGGTCATATATCGGCAAGCAATTCTTCATAACTAGACACTGCACAAATGGAAACGATACAGGTTTGCCCAGTGATAAACACTCGCACTTCACAGACGCGCAAACCCCCGACCGAGCGTGGCACGGCACAGCGCAACTGGCGCCGGGAAGCCGGGAACGCATTAAGTGAAGGATTCACAGGTGCGCAACTTTATTGCGAACAATAAAAACCTACCGCAAACGATTAAAAAAAAGTTTTAGGGCAATCGAAAATACAAATGAATAGAAATGAATAGAAATAAAATTGTCATTCACCTTCCAAATAACTCAACAATTTATTTGCCGTAAAAACAGTGTCTGGAAATGGAAAGTTGCAAACATGATTCAGCAAGTAGGGAAACGCAGCAGCTACCTGGCGAATAATCTCAGGCTGGTTTAGTGACGAGTGCATTGCTACGGCTTGTTCCTCACCCTTCACAGATTACTATGACAAAACTACCCCTAGTATTTTGATCATCCTGAGGCTGGCTTTCACCTAATAATTTGATGAGGGTCTTCCTCGTTTCGGATTGAGGCGAAAACAAACGTCAAACAACCTTGATAGTTAATTCAGCACTTCAAAACAAAGGTACACCTAGGGTATCATTACAATACCGGATCATAACGATCTGGATAGTTCTCAGCCTGTAAGCTAACTAAGCGGTAACTAGTCAAGTGGTAGGTACCGGAAGCATTGACAACCTGGTGACTGTTTCGAGACCCTTGTTTTGACACATAGCTTGTCAATATTTTTTACAGTGTACGGTCCGACTACGGACACGATCTTTTGTGTCGCCTTTTCCCATTGTGGGTGATACATTGCACACGGAGCAACAGCGCAAATACTTCGTTCGTCTCTCCAGGGGCGGATCCAAGGGGGGGGGGCCAACGGGGCCATGGCCCCCCCCCCCCAAGACGGTCAAAGGGGGGCCATACTATCTTTTGCCCCCCCCCCAAGACATAAGTCAAGAAATATTGCTTTGATGATTGAGTGACCTTGGGGCAAACGTGAAAAACTCTGCCAGCCAGAGTCAAAATGGCCTGTGCCGGCGAGGGTTAACCCGCGCCCTGCTGGGGGGGGTGTTTGAACACCCCCCCCTGTGGTTTTTCGCGAATATCTCAAAAACGGCGGCGTGGAGCGCCGCCGTTTTTAGTACACCTTATCATACATCAATTCTACACATGTTGTGAAAATTTCAGACCAAGGTCATTCAAGGTCAGGTCACCAGGTCACTCGAAGTGACCTCACCTCATAAAAAGTTTCAATGTCTGTCATAGCTACACCGAGTGACCGATCGCTTTGAAACTTTCAGCGATTGCTAAGAGCATTAGCATGTACAAAATGTATATCTCAGAATTTTGATATCGATGACCTAAGGTCAGGTCAATTTTGCGACCTCACCATTATAAGTCAATGGGAGAAAATTGAAATGCGCCTGTTTTGGACGAAAGACATTATAAACACTCCCAAACACTGAATTACAAGTGGTTTAGACACACTGAACATGAAAATGGTGTCTGTGACCCCTGTTTATGCCCTGAGGTCATCTTAGGTCACGAATGGTATCTAACAGTTTTTCGCAAATAACTTTTGATAGAGGCATGCTAGAGCGATGAAAACGCCTTAGATGTGTTCAGCTCGACGATACGGATCGACTGATATGCAACATGACCCTTTCCGGTCAGGTCATGACCTTGACCTGAGGTCAAATTTTCAAGTTGACCTTTCAAGGTCAAATTATAGTTCGTTCGATGCGTCTTGACGAGAGGAACACGATGCCGGTAAAAGTAAGCTCGTACAATGCTTGGGTCAAAAGTTATTGCAGAAAAACTGTTTCCGAAAAAATCGGCTATTTTTGCAGTTTTTGCCCCCTGCAGGCAAAACCGTTGACGTTAGGTCAAATCTGAAAAACTTACTCAGAAAGGGCGTTAATAGGGCTATCGAATGCGCTTTTCCGCGGCGCTGTAGCTCTATTGGTTCCCGAGTTATGCGTTGGCTTCTTGGAAATTTTCGACATTCGACCTGGAAATCGGCGAAAATTTGCCTTCAATGACCTCTGATGACCTGACCTTTGACCTGACCAAAAAATTGACCGAAGTGATTTCCTCATTATTTTTGACGCTCTTTCGAACGCCGCCTTCCGCGTATCGCTACGTGGCCCAGGAGCCGAGTTAGAAGGGGGGGGGGTGTTCAAACACCCCCCCCCCCCAGCAGGGCGTGGAAATCCAGGACCCCCAGCCGGGCGCGGGTTAACATGTAGGAGAAATCGACATGATATCACATTGTTATTCGCATTCATAGGCACGTGTTCTGTATTGTGTACTAGTTGGTTTTAATTGCAAATTTGTTGGAAAATTAGATTGTCATTGAGCACTTTTTATTAAAGAAAAAGGTATTTTTAACGTTTGCCATGGCCAAATGTGTGATTCTTGTCAGAAAACTGAGGAATGATCATAACATAACAACACTGAGTATAATCAACTTAAGCTTGAGAAATTTCAGAAGCTTTTTAATCGCTGAAGCTTCTTCATAGATCATTAACACTATTAACCAGTAGCTTTCTTGTCTCATACCTGAAGGTATATGGATTTAAACCTCTCCCGTATTGGCGTTTTCTCAGCCGCGAACGTATGGGGGGTGGGGGGTCCGTTGCCCCCATTGCCGTTTGGCCGCTGATCCAGCTAGAGCTTCGCGAAAAAAAACGAGCGTGCTGCCTGTGACGAGAGGAAGACGATGATACCCAATTTAAGGTCCTAGGTCATTGGTTCATGGTTGACCTTCCAGGTCAGGTCAATGACCCAAAAGTCGGGAAAATTGGGACCTGTTAGAGCGTCGTAAGTGTGGCTGAGCTTTTTCGGGGTGCTGATCACCAATATCGTGTTAGTGTTGATCCCAGATGTCTTCATGCATTTAGGCCAGGTCGGGTCAGGTCAACCAGTAGTGGTCCTGCCGGGTATTCGTAGTACGTGTCACTGTCAACCGCCTCTGACAGCTTCGTAACATGTTACGAAGGCACCAAAAGTACTTCGTAAATGTTCAAATGGTTGCTGAATTCGAATTCAGCTCCAAAAACTAGCCTAGAAACATGTAAAACTCGAAAAAGTGAACTGAGGTTATCAAAGGTCAATGACCTGACCTGACCTTCAGGTGACCTTCACACCCATCCAAATGCATGGAACCAACATCATATCACATGTTTGAACGCTTGAAACCACGAACAGACTGCAAACGCGCGGCTAATGCGAGCCACCATACGCCGAATCGCGATCCCGGCCAAGCATGGTCTCGAGAAATAGGTCACAGGTCAAAGGTCACTTGGGTCAGGGTAATTAAAGTTTTAGGGTAGATGCAAAATTGATTAACTCGAGGGTGCTGAAAGTTTGGTCGCGATTAGCCGTTTTTACGCGAGTTATTCGCGAAAAACCGAGGGGGTGGGGTCTGTTCGACCCCTCCCCCTATACGGGCGAGGGTTAACAGAGGAAGACACAATTTCCCCTTACCTATACTTGTTTTTGAAGGGTTTCAAGCGTCATTTTGAGAAGGTGCTTTATTCAGTTAGGGGGTGCATGTGCACCCCTAAAACCCCTAATGTTCCACCATATGTCACTAACTAAACCCACTATTTGAAGTTATACTTAATGACACATGGGTAGTTTTCACTCAACATAGTAGGATAATTAAGCATTAACCCTCGCCGGACCTATTGGTTTTCTACATACGCGCCGGCCGAGGGGGGGGGCGGGTACGACCCCCCCCCTCGCCGTTTCGCCCCTGGTGGAGCTAGCGCGTCGCGGAAAAAACGAGC